GAGATCACATCACGGATAGCAAAAGCTAGAGCAGCTTTCGCCAACCTGCGACACTTGTGGCGCCACCATTACATCCGACTGTCCCTTAAGGGAAGAGTATGCATCGCTGCAGTTCGTAGCGCTTTGCTTTACGGTTGCAAGACCTGGCCTCCGCGCATTGGGGATGCTGATCTACTTTCCACATTCGACCATCGATGTCTCCGAAGAATTGCTCGTCTTTCTTTTATACTTAATCTCCTATTCTGACAGCTTCATCTTTTCCCTATACTCTGTACCCCAACCCCCCCCCCCCCCNCCCCCCTCGCTCGTTATTGTTATTATTAATATTGTTATGGCGTTGGCACAAAGCTTGATCTCAAGCCGGTGTTGTATATATACTTTACCAAACTCCCGCTCATGATGGTGAACGAAGAAGGGGGATGTGGTCATAGACCTCGATGTGGCCTGATATTTGAGCGTAGACGGTTTACCACATTCTCAGGCACATTGCTCCCTAACAGACAAGTCTCGAGAGCAACGTTGTCTACTGAGTAAAACTCAGCACGCATGTCAAAAAGACAATAAGGTTTGGTCTACTGAACGTTTATGTTGCTCGAGAATCTGATGTAGAGCAAATTAGTGGCCAACGCAGAACCGTCCGAAGTACAATCCAGCCAGTTCTTCATAGAAGTGGCGTTCTCTTACCCCTGTGAGTTTGCGAACGATCAATTTAGATGCAAAGGAGATGAGACTACTCCCTCCGTGGTCGCAGAGGGGAAGCTTCTCGAAAATTGACACGACGTCCGTCAACTCTCAAGCGGATGGAATAGATTGAGTATTCCAGATGTTTTGGAATAAGGTCATTTCTCAAACAAGGCTTGTACCACCGTCTTTGAAAACAGCCTGAAAGGAGTTCATCTATACCGGACGATTTCGGCGTTTCCGGACACTTCCTCATCGATAGGAGGCGAAATTTCTGCACATCAAGGATCACTGCATAAGTCGAGAGATGGAGGTAATGATATCGATGGCTAGCTGAAATATTGATGGAAGTGCTTTGCTCAGCCTCCAAGTCGAAGTTGTAGATTGTGGATAGGCTCGTCATTCTTTTGGTATATTCTCTCACTCACGAACGGCGTTTGTAACCACCGGGTCGGACTAGTCGGAAAAGCGTGTGAACATTGTCGGAAGAAGGGACTAGTTTTATTTTAGAAGCCCACTGTGCCCATCAGGTCTCTCAATCCTGCTTTAGCAACGACAGACCTACGAACTGGGTTGAGTTTTTTACCTGGAAAGATGCTTCAACGAGTCTCCAGTAATTCGAGAGAACGTGTGGAAACCTAACGGTTGACGGTGCGCTTGGTGGAGCCACATGTAATGGCAGTTCAGTTTTTACAACCATTAACCACGCACTTTCGTGCGCCGATTGCGGTTGCTGTCTATGACTACCCATTGAGATCAAATAAGACAGACTTATGCACATCTTTACAGATATGAGCCCACTGGCTATCAGCGTTCGAGGATGATGGACTGCCTAGATCAGCACCTAACGTTTTTCACTATGAACTGGCGTTCTATCAGATTGGGTCTTCTTGAGCTACATTGTTTTCCTACGAAAGTGCAGAAATCATTGGGTGCACACGAGCGCATGAGCAGAACGGTGGCATGTGCTGCAAACGGACTTGCAGTCTATTGTGCAGTTTCTCCATCGATGAATGATAAAAAATACGCTCTATTTTTAGTCTAAAGCTTATCAGACGATGAAGTTCGCCCGGTGGCAGGTCATCGTCAGACGAGAATAGACAATGAACAGCGTGGGGGGTTTCAAGAGATAGCAACCGCCGTCTGGTCTCTTAATACACGCTGTACTGGCCTCCAAGTGAGGTTTCATCCAAGTCTAGCAAACCCACTTGTTAGTTCAATTCGCTGGCCAGCATCACAACGTTAGTGTGTCGTCTACTATGAAGAAGATTGTTGAACTGATAGTAGAACTCGTTGTTGTTGTATCGGGACTGCAGTCTGTGGAGGCATAAGCTGTGATGACGAGCAGCTGTTTTTCAGTCTCCTTACGAGACGCTCTTAATGAACTTTCTACTTGACTATAGATTGGAATCCAGTCCAATGACACTGCTACTCTACGTATACTCAGCGCTATTCTCACACCAGCCTGACAAGCAGCTTCCGGGGATATGGTGAGCGGCGCTTGTGTTCATAGTTTGGGTGGGTATGTTACTTCCCGGTTGTTCNGGTTCCCCACGCGAGGCTCCTGGCTAGAGGTTCAAACCCGCAAGACAGCAGGATGGAATCCACGGTCGAATGAGAGCCAGGGTTCAGTACATTGGATCACGCCAGTTGTTGTCATGCGTTAGATTGGGTTTTTGACTTATTGTGGTGAAAATTAATATATATCAAAATTCCCCTGTTCCATTTTCTCTCATATCCTTACTGAGAGAGTGGGTACTGAGCTGTAGATCAACCTTATATGTTGATTCAAACCCGTTTTTCTCTCTCTTGTGTTCTTGTCTTTCCTGTGATCTTCTGTGTTGTGAGGGTAATACACGAAAACGAATATTTTTGATATAAATGTAAGTACTTCGGTATATAAAAATCTGTAATAGAATAACATCGTAGAACAGCATTGTCACGCAAGCCTTCTTGTCCGTCCGTGCTTAGATAACCCGGGAAAAAAACGAGGATGACCGTGATTTTCCAATTCACCTATTTGGTTGAAAAGGAAGCGCAACCGTCAGTCACTTTGTCCGGTGTTTCCAGCAATCTTTATCGCACACCTTATGACACTGAGACCTCGGACTGCGTTCATTCACAGCAATAATAGCACACGAATAAACATCATCTTGCATCGTTCATCGGATACATCATGCATTACGGGATTTTGATTTCTGAATAATTCACCTTCCTTGAACAATGACTCCTGTAGAGAATGTTGCCGGAACCGATGAAATTTGTTCATTTTTGGTTAGGGCATTCAAAAAATGGCACATGTTGTTAACACCTACTTACATACCTTCCGAATGGTTCCCTTGATTATATAGCTTTAGAAACAAGATGTGTAGCACCATTATGGTAAAAAGTTTATTTCAAAAGGAGGCTAGCTGTTTCCCGTGTTTTTACCCCTAGTTTACAGCTAGCATCTTTTCCGTCTTTTTATTTCAGTCAAGTATTCCACAAAGTATATTTCGCAAGAGCTCCAGAGAAACTTTTTCGCATTCAGCCATCTCTCCTTGGTCATCTTTAATTACTGAGAATAACACACCTGGAGGTTGCACACCCTGAATAGCAGAAACGTTAGTTAGCACACTTATAGCTGTGTAAAATTCCGTCAGTTCATCGACAAGTAACACAGTCAGTAGATAGTTATTGTCTGAACTGTCTGGATGATCCACGGGCGATAAACGTGCAATCTGTTCTTCGGAAATAGCGAATAAACATTGCTTAATTATTTGAAGGAGTGAACCAAAATTTTGTCTGAACAGAGACATTACAGGAGCACTTTGAATCCACCTGTGAAATATGAATCTAGTCATCTATGTGCAGCATGATAACCGACTTCCGGTAGAGTCAGGTATGTGTTCGAAACATGGTAGAGTCGCGTGCTTCTTGGTCACTGATAGTTTAAGCTGTACCACCGGAACAGACACTTGTTTCCATTGCATAATCACGACGGTGGGAAAAAATATCCGCATGTAGGAGACTGACCGTAAATTGACCTCGACTGACGAAGGACAAACAGATAGGCTCACTGAAACACAAGTCTACGGTAATTACTTTACCACTGGACTGAAATACACACCACCCCAGATGCGAATTTACAATTTATGGAGGCAAAAATTACAATTCGTGCTCAATGTTTCCAAGATCCCGATTTAGAACCATGTTTTGATCCAAGCATGGGCTCAAGAAACGCGTTTTGACAACTCGGTTATTATTTCACGTCTAGGACTTGCGTACTTATGAGTAGACAACAATGTACGTTGCAAAGTTTCGACAGAAAAAACAAACTACAAAAATAAGTCTGTTGATGAAAAAACGAATGCTGTACAGGAATCAAGGGTGAAATTTCAAGGCACTATACACAATAAAAATCATTCAATAATGTGGTCAGGATTGTCACTGGTGAAATGCGTGATCAAGCGGCGTGCAAATTCAGGCCCAAGGCGTCGACGTGATGCTAACACACCAGCACCTCGGCGGATTTCCAAATTCGATAGGGAATTTAGTGGGTTTTCTGTCTGCTCTGAAAGTTAGAACAGGGTTGAGTGATGCAAAAATTGCTTGATGTGACTAACTACAAACCGAAAGAAACAAAAATAGTAATTATTGAAAATTTGTCATGCGCGGGTAGCAAAATCACTCAGCGTATAAGACAAGCATCCGGAGCGGACAGAGACAATGACAGCATCCGAGAAAAACAGATGAATGACTAGTATTAAAAGTCAATTACGGTCAATCCCCGTTGAGAAAATCTAGAACCGTAACACTCCTAGAACTCTGATATTGCATAGCAAGCACATAACCACAAGGAAAACTGTTGTCCAGGCGGACAACAATATGAAATGACTGATAGATTAGTGAGCATGAACAAACAAATAACAGGTAGACATGGATGAAGTGAGGATCCGCAGTTCACGTTTAAGTTCCAACGATAGTATGGGTTGAACGGATGGATAATACACAAACAAGCAGCGTATCGAAAGAGGGAGAGAAGTGGACAATGTGTTGTACTTTTTAACGTTCTGATCAAAATAGGACTCGTTATCAAACGAAAACGAAATGAATGAGATTACCGTCTTTCCATACATCGATATGCTGTTCACTTGTCTGCAAGTTCACCAATCGTCGGCACGGGTGTTGCGATTCCGACGAAATGCTCGTCAAAATCAACGTGTCAGTCGAAAGAACGAATCAAATACAAAGCTTCGAGAATTAACCGCTCCCTCCTCTTCTTAGCTCGCGCCACCAGCTCTGCGTTATCGACTGCGATCTCGCAACCTGTTTGTACTCAATGGTTCCAGATTTGTGACCCCGAGGGTTAGCGCGCCGGAGGGTAAGCTGGTGTTCGTATAGGCAACCGCATAGTTGTTTGCTTCTTTCACTTACACAGTGTCGGTTTGGATTGCGTATACTACATCCAATCATTTGTGCTGTTCGACTCGGTCCTTTATGTGGAAAACGAACGGTCTCACGATTGCTACTGGTATGTAAATCACCAACGGCCGGAATATGCATCCAGTGGATCCGGACGTGCCGTGTATGGGGAGCAGCTTTATTATGATCTCCTATTTTTTATGAGCTTGTTTTTCTCTACCTCTGATGTACGCGTTGAAAAAACAATCCTGGCATATCCGCTGAATACGAACAGTTGAAAGAGTCAAGCTTTTTCTAGCTCTGGTGTGCTACATCTGTGTTCGCTCGGTGGAACAGGGTTCGCACACAACTCCTCAAGTGGCGCAGGAGCTGGTTTTCGGTCGTAATTCAAGATGCAATCTGTTGTGGTAGGTTTGCTATATAATTTGGTCTCAATTCTTTTGTCTTGTTGTCTTATAAGAATGATATCAAGGAAGGAAAGTTGGTCTTTCACCTCCTTTCGTGTGAAATTGATCTCGAATGCAAGTTCGTTGATGATTCGGTGGAACTGGTCTACCAAGTTTATATACATGGTGTTCGGCAGATGTCATGATAGTATTTTCAGTGAATTACGAAACCACAAGTAACACTCCTGGCTGAGCTACGAAATGGACTCACCTGAGTGTACGTTTTGCTGACGTGCATGACGGTATAAAGTCCGAGCGGTAGGATAGGTCAGTGTGATTGAGTGAGCAATTTCTCCGGTCAAACCACGCCACTGGCCCAGTTGCGCAAGCCAAACTTGACTGGCCCAAGTGTGAGCGGCACGTTCCGTTTGAATCGGATCAGTCGAGAGGAGATTCGTGGGAGCCGGACCCGCGCCGCGACCACGTGACGCACAACCGGCTAAACCCATACGAACGGTTTCTGGGAGGAATGTCAGGCCATCATCCTGATCCAAGCGACCCTCCCTGAGATAATGCAGATGAGCATTAATGGAATTGAATGAAAATATTAGGAGTTAAATAAAATGAGAGAAAACGAACAGCATATCTTAAATTGTGTGGATTTGTTCATATCGCAGTGAACGGATTGTGAAGGTTTTATTATCAAAAACGGTAAGAGTTCTATAGTAAAATACTAATTCGATTTTGTTATGTCTAACCTATGGGAACGGTGTGCAACTCACGAGATCACAACATTATAGCACTGAAAATTTCAATTTGGCACAGATATTATTCGAGAAAAAATACGCCTTCCATGCGATGGATCGGGAGTTCAAATTCCAGACGGGACGCGATTTAATAAGAGTGAGGTTGGAGGCTCGTGCTCCCGAATGTATGGTTGACCGGAAGAGCTGAAGAATGTGTTTATAGGTGAAGTCTGAAAGATGGCCAATTCTAACCAATCAATCAACATCAATTATCCCACAACACTACTCACAAGTAACTGAGTTAAATGCGAAAATTTACTGAAACCGATACAATGTCATGAAATAATTGCAAGCTTCGTCTCCTTGCAACATTTGTAGGAGTTGTTGTGCTCAGCGACAAGGGCTCAAACTTGGAGTGCACAACTAAATAACAACTCAAACGAGATAGGTGCATTATTGAATTGAGTATAATTGAGATTTTTTGACTACTGACAAACAGCCACAAACTACGATGAACGATGAACATGCCTCGGTAAGCCACAGCGAAATAAAAACAACTTTTCGTTTCACACCATATCAGTAAACAGGTGAACCAAATTATCAGAATGACCTAAGATGTGGTAATAAGAACCGATTAAAGATCCACAGCACACGACTTACTTGTACGGTCGTTCGGCAATCGAACGGGTATAAGAAGCCAAGGTTTGAGCCACATCTTGAACCGTTGAACAAATCCGTGTCGCGTGTACACCCCAATCCAGTTGCAAGCGAATACAGAGTTGATTGATGGTTAATTTACTTGGGTTTGAGTTCGGTCCGACCGAAGAACGGCGACTGCAAACAAATGAGATGGCGATAGCGGTGGTAGTGTACAGCCCGAATAAAGATACAGCTAGTCATCGGTAAAATCTCAGTTTTAGGTATGAATGAAACTAGACACGGCCTGAGGGAAAACACTACGCTTAGAAGAAACATGCTTTGTCAATAAATTACGCACACATGTTTAACCATAGCCATTTGGATGGACGGTGGTGGCCCGGTGTGGTAAAGTCATCCAATGATCACCCCGGAGGACGAGTGTTCGAATCCCACCACCACCACCTGACTTTCCCCATTCTCTGTGTGTCGCATGAAAGTCCTTTGATTGGCCGTTCCCCCGTTCCTTAGAACTTTATTATTGTATATTCCATAAAAAGAGTAAAAAATGAAAAAGGCCTCACTAACCAATTAGAGAGTTTCTGTTGACCTTCTGTTATATGAAGTTGATATGCGAACGATATGTCAACAACTACCAAATCGTAAAAACCACATTCTTTTCTTAATTGAGTTAGTTTGACTAACATTTCGTGCTCAGATGTTACAAACTAGCAACATTGACCCCGCACTCGCGGTGAGGTCATTGGACAAAGCAATGGAGATGGACACTTGAACGTACCGATCTGATGCCCGAAATTTGGCAGCTGTGAGAAAAATACATGTGATTGGTCGATTGAGTCCTCGAAGTTGTGTTCCAAACGAGGTAAGCGATGAGACCTGGGGATTAACAGGGAATACAACCAAACAGATTCAGGCTGAAACAATTAAAATTGATTGTAACAGTGGAATGTGTTGATGCAGCACTCCGAGAACCACTATGGTCTACGAGAAGCTGAGAGCAAAAACACGAAAAAAAAATAAAAAAGCAGGTTAACACTAGACGTGCGTAGAAAGAAAGTTGATGTGACAATGTCATTCTGACGAAACTCAACTATTCCACCCAGTGTCCCTAACCGTCAATTCGTTTGGTTCCGAGATCCGCACTAGGGAAGCCTAAAGTGAACAACAGGACACGGCACATGGTTAAGGTTTGCACACTTTCATGCAGGTCTTAATCTGTTCCCCATCGGCTTTCTTCCCCCATTCGTTGCCTTTCTAGGCAAAGAGCACACGCCGAGGAAGCTGCCTCGGTAATATACGTAAAAATACCTGAGCCACTGCTATCTAAGGAGATCAAAATTTTGGCATTAGCATATAACCGCGGCTATCTAAAACTGGGCGCCGATCCTCGGCATTGCTGGTCCGTTTTTTTACCAAACTCATGCAACGATAGTCTGCGTTTATCTTCCCCTCGAAATGACCAAATCTCTGCACCATACAACAGCTCTGATTGGTCTGCCACAGCATAAATTCGATTCTTTATGGACAGCCGAATGTTACGGCGACGCTAAAGTTGTCTCGAGTTCGCAAGATTAGTAGTACACCAGGAGGTGCAGTCGAACTAGGAGCATAACCTCTCTACCTCTATTATTTCCCATTCAAAGCGAAACTGGAAAATGGGCAAACTGTCTGCACTTTACACCTTGAGGGGTCAAAATGAACTCCAAACATAGCTAACCGTGGGGGAAAGCTTGCAAAATAAGTGGACCCTCCGCAAACAATAACGTGAGTTTGAAAAACAGCAGTCATCTTTTAGGGACCCGTTCAAAACCGTGAGAACGATATTCTGGAAGACTCCTTTTAAGCCAAATAGATTGCGTGATTTACTGCCAGGGAGCATATTCTTACACGAGAACAGTATGTATAACTGTCAGTACAAAGTTGAAAAAAGGGTGGGGAAACATGACGAACACCACTACTCGAGGTGAACTCGAGTTAAAAAGACCTGCAAGCTCAAAAGTTGCTTCAGCTACCCATAGGCCGAGAATGTGAAAGAGAAATTAGTATATCGAATAACCTGACGGAGGAAAGCAATAACAAACCAAGTACAGCACCGTCCTATGATACCGAGCGCAGTCTCAGGTCGCGGACAGGGAAGCGGTGCTATCTTGCGGCTAACTGTGAATAAGATAGGCCTATGCTCACTGAATAAGCGGTCACGGACGATCGGTGATAGTGATCGCTTGGTAGCTCAAGGCCAGAGAGCACCCTCGAACAAGGCCCACTATGGACCTGGTAGTACAACAGCTCTCGTCACTGATAACCATCAGCCATGAACTTGCTTGAAACTAAGATGTTATATCCAAAACTTCACTCCAAGACTCTACACAGTACAGACTGTCCTGCGCCTCCGACTCTTCCCTATTTCAATCCACTCAATCTTACATTTTCGCTTCCCTTTGTACTAACAGTAGTGCCTCATATAGAAACTCCGCCGCTGTTTTCCTGCATCCTACCTCAACTACCGTTCAAGCCTCACCGAATTATCTACTGGATTCAATCGGAAATTCACTGAGGATTGTGCGTGAAGGTGGAGTTCAAAGGATAGTCAGTTCACATCAATACATATCAATTATCCCACACCACTACTCACAAGTAATTGTGAGTTAAATGTGAAAGATATATTTCACCCAAAGCTACACAGTCTCAGTCGGGTTGATACCGTTATTTTAGCAGAAGATATGAATCAGCGATTAGGTGAGCTACCTTTGAGCGAAGCACTTGGGCAGGTTCTTTCGGACCAGATTATCGTAGCTGGGAAAATGGCAACTGGCTCCGTATTCTGATCAGCTTATTCCCCTCCAATAGGAACCTCAGAAGATTCATCTGTCTTCCCCGTCTTCGAGAAGAATCCTCGCACTGACTGCACCAACCACAGAGGCAGAAGTCTAATCCCAGTAGCGTCCAATCTGTTGGTGTCTATCATTTTTTACAGATTTTACAATACGTGTAAGGAGAAAACGCGCACCGTTCATGAATGCATCGATCAGAGCCTCAACAAACGACAGTCGCTAGAGCACGGACAAACGGTCATCGTGTTCTTAGACATCTGCATGATCATCGATTCGATCGAGGGGACCGCAATAGAAAAATGCCCGATGATAAATTGAGTACATGAGAAGTATAAGTAGATTCAAAAAGTATTGTCTAGTCATAACTCGGGTTGGGTTTGGGCAAATGGCTAACCTTTGCCCTCCCAATTGAGGTGTGTCAAGTTTTTTATACCCTTACGGCAGGTTTTGGTTCGACAACCGCTATTCGTAGTGTTTTGCTTTATGGTTACAAGATCTGGCTTCGCTGAGCTGAGAATGCTAATGGATTCTCCGTATTCGATTTTCGGTGTTTTTGTTTAACTGCTTCCGTCTGGTGGGAACGCCGGATGAGCAATGACTATGTCATCCTGTGTTGAGTGTTAATATCAGTTCCCTGGAAGAAGTAGTCATTCTACACCGCCTCAGATGGCTTTGTTGCGTTTTCCGTAAGCCTGTCTATCGCCTACCTTTCTAGGCTCTCCTTCCCGGTATGGGCAAGGCTGGAATGAACTTCACGGCGTTCAAACCATGACTTTAGGCACACGTATGACGGAGTTTGCTCCAGCACTGGTTTTGGTTGGTACAAACCGATTTCTAGACTGGGGACGAAAAGATGAAGACTGTTGTTGGTTAGAAACGCAGGGAGATATGGTCCAGAAAAGAAGTCAGTTGCACAAGTGTTGCATAGCACTTAATTTGGGACACAACATATAGCCTACCTCTTGAAATCCCGTGCCTCACACAAAAATTCTGCAGTAAAACAAGCAAAACAATATTTTTTCTCCTCGTTCTGGTCTCTGAAAATGCTTTTTTTCTCACATCGTTCCTCTTTCATTCAGGGACACCTTTTCTCTACCTTCATTTATTATTGTTGCGGTAGCACCACACTTGTCAATAATATGTAAAAATTAGTTGCTATGATCGTTCACAATCCGACAAACAGACTACCATAGCATTTAGTTTAACGCGAGAGAGAAGGAGAAAAAAGAAAGAAAATTCGGATACGGTTCCCCGAAAACAAAGCTGTGTGCTACCGGGTGCAGTTTCCAGGTCTTGGGGATAGGAAGTCTAATGAGTCCGAGGCTGATTAAATAAGTGGTGTCGGGAAAACAGCAACAGAACTCTAGAACAAGTGGTGATTTGTTTGGCTGTACATCTCCACTATAAAATACTATACAAGCCTGTGAAGGGCAAGATAAAAGCGAGTAAAGACAAACCCCTGTCGGACTCACCTCATTAGGTCGATTCGTAGGTGGAACTTTACACAATGTTTTGATCTGATCTGTGTTTAAAAGAAGCACTACTTCCGGTTCCGAATACGGTTCAAGAACAATCCGATGCTCTAATGTTGAGAGATAGGACAGAAAGAAAAAGCCAAAACAAAGAAGCGCAAACGGAATGATAATTTCACAGAAGTTATTCGTTTGAATATCGAATAATAGATTCTACAACACCGGTAGAGGAATTTTAGTTTTACGAAATAGGTCTGCCAGTTTTCCATTGTGACTGTTTCATTGACCGCCGACAACTGATGTTCTCTGTTTGACCGAATAAATGCAGCAAAATAAGGATATCAACAAACACAAACAATTCACGCAGACAGCTGAACAGTACAACCTAAAACCAGCTCGCCGCACTCATGCCAGTGGTAAAACTGCCCCTGGCACTGTCATACGCAATCAGGACATTTGTGAAGCGAAATGGTTTTGCAAGCCCACAATCTCATTTATTATCGAACACGATGTAGACTGTTTCGACTGCTCACCAGATTAACATCTATTTAGGAGTAGCAACCGCTTATACCCTTTGCGAACCTGTCACATCAATTTATAATCCTGTGTTGTCCAGTTAATTGAAATCCTTCGGCACACACTATTCTTACTCGCTCTCACTATTTTTATTCAATACGTGATTCAGTGGGCTGAGCAAAATGTTTCCGGCGTACGCAGTACCCCGTACGAGATGAAGATGATCAGGCAAGGAAAATGTCAAGTGTAATCTATTATGAATATTGATCGGTGATTGCAACTCAAACAGAGAATATCAACAGCCGAGCACAGATCACAAGTCACAATAGTTGGTAACCTCGGACTGTAGGGATGGAACTCAGTCAATTTCACTGGAAGGCGATGAATTACTAGGAGTTAAAATTTGGTTTAAAACAGCAGCCAAGTGTTGATCTTTTACGACATGCCTTTGGTGATGACGCGCCTTTAAGAAGCACCATTTTTGAATGGTTTGCGAATTCCAGCGTGGCAGGCGGTCCCTGGATGATGAGACACGGTTTGGTCCACTTGTGGAGGCCAACACAGCGGACAACATTTCTCCTGTGCAAGCGATGGTGGAGGAGGATGCGCGGGTAACAGTGGCACAGCTGACGAAAGCCATCGGGATCCCGCCGGGATCAATTCGCACCATCCTACATGAAAGACACCAAAACAACGCACCTGCACGTAGGTCCCATGTGGTCAGCAATTTTCTGACTAGAGAAAGCATTCGGGAGGTAGTTCACCCACCCTACAGTCCAGACTTCGCTCCGCGTGACTATTTTGTGTTACTAAATGTCAAGCGCATGATGAGTGGAATCCGATACGAGTTTCAAACAGTTGCAGTGGAGGCCTTCGTTGAACTGGCCGAAGCGTTACCCGCTTGGGCATGATCGAGGTGTTTCACCAAATGGTTTGAGTTCATGGAACTGTGCATGAACGCTGGTGAACAATACTTTGATTGAATGTAGCGCTTATTTTCGTATAACAAAGGAAAACGTTTGCTCAGTCCTC